AACCGGTAACAGTTGATACTGTTGTGAACTCTTAAGCTCCTTCAGTCCCACACTGGATCCCCTTGCACTTTAAGTAACCAAACACAACACACAATCAGCCAACTTATCGCTCTAAGAACTCAACCTTAACGACATCAACATTCTCTATACACACATTTACAGATATCATCTGTTATTCTGCATACAGGAAAATATGAAGCTGGAATGAAGTTTTTTTTAATGTGATTTGAAATGAAAGAAGGAGATTTTTATGCTTTTACTTAAAAGTGTAGAAGACATGGCTGTGGGACCAAAAGGTGAATATGTTCGGGTGATCTGGGAAAAAAAAATCCTCAGGGTTTTGAGCATGTGGAGAAAGTCATGGTTCTTACTGACTGACAGCTTCATCCAGAGCACACATCTCAACAAGACCACCTATGTCCGATCGGCAGATTAAATTTTGCAAAGCATTACAGAAGATAAATGAGGTTATGCGTAGGTGGAAGAACATTAGAGACACTCTTATAGAGGTTCCCGGTATTTAGTAAGAGAGCAAGGTGAGAAAAGTACAGTTTGGAAGGCATCTAGCAAGAAGATCATTCAAGAGTTTGTAAGAGACCACCTAAGCACTTTCCAGATCATCCCTATATATATAGTAAATATATTTATGGACGGATCTACGGCATTAACATTGAATATTTTAAAACCGTTACCTGGACATTTGTTTATGACAGAAAAAAGATTTTTGGGAAGGTTGTTGATGAAAAAAATCTCTCTTCCACAAGCACAAACTGTAGATTATTGACACTTAAGTGTTTCCAGGAAAATAGTGTTTTCTGGAACATTATATATTTAAATGCAATGTGCTAGGGGGCTATTAGGCAGAAATTCAGAGTGAAAAAACAATCAAAGAGCCCCAAATCTTGCTTTTGCGGAAGTTTTGCTGAAATTTCCTTTTGCTGTATCAAAACTTAGGGCGAAGTTCTGAACCATGCGTGTCAGGCTGAAATTGCACGCAATGGTCTGTCTGTGGGTGGCACCTCCATCCACCACAGGAAGCCACCCCAGCTCTCCCATCACTAGCCTCCCCTTCCTGAGATTTGCATAGCCAGGCCCATGGGAAAGGCCACTTGCCTTGTCTTTATTGGGGAGGGGGGGAGGTTCCAAAAACAAAGATTTCAGCTGTCAGATTAGCAGATAAAAATTTGGTGTGTTCACAGTCCACTTGCATAGTTTCAAAATAAGATCTCATTAATTTGTGGACAACTTTTGTTCTCCCTTTTTTTTTTTTTTGAATGCCTGAGAATGTCTGAAATCTTTCCTTTTCTCCTCTTTGTGCTAGACACAGTGTTGAACTTCCCCAAAGCAGTAGCAGATACTTAGGCACATGGAAGATCTCAGCGTAAAGCTAAGGCTGCACTTTGAAGACAAGCCTTGTTTGAAACAGTATTCCAGTCAGGTCAGGAAAGCCTGTTGAGGCTTTTGATTCTTAAGCTGGCATCTTTGACCAAGAGTTTTGAGAATTATCTTCAAGCTTTCAGGGGAAATGATAGAGAATTTCAAATGAAAAATATAAATAGATTAGTTCCCTTTTAAAGCTTGCAACCTTTAATCAGAAGAAGAACTTCAACAGAAACTGAGCAGTAACCTTACCTGTGGTACACATGTACCTTTCACTGAGAAACTAAAACTAATATATATTTAAGAAAATGCATTAGGACTTGCAAGGTGGTCATGTTTCCACTTTCACATCAAGAGAACAAAGCTGTAAGTCAGTCTGAAACCATCACTGTGAATATTTTTAGAGTAAAATAATTTTCAGGTACTAGTTTGATATGCACTGGAAATAGTAAGCTAATTCAAAGACAACTACAGGTCTGCAAGCAAAATCACAAAACCACAACAGTCCGGGGAAAGAATGGTAATGCATAGTAAAAGGGCAGTGAAATGACTCTTGGTTCCCATACATCCTTATTTTTCTTCTTTTTGGCTTGATATAAATAATGTCCTGTTACTTACTGTGGTGACTCATAGAAATAAAAACAAGCAGCCAAGTGCAGGTCTTTAGCAGTGTAAACCAAACCTGGCTATCATTAGTCTATATAATGCTATTAAACCATAAAAATGAAAAATGTCTTTAAAACATATATGTGGGAGATGGATTTTATTTCTGGCATTCATTTTTATAGTTAAAACGTATCTTTGTATCCTAATTGCTAACATAAATCAAACATCATGGATATCTTTAAATAAGCTATAAGGTATTTTAATGGATATTGAACATTTTAGATGTATAATCAGAAAAATGTAAGTCTGGAAGGGATTTCTACAGGTCACCTAAGCCCATCTGCACAGAGGCAGTATGAAATACACTAAATCCCCATCCCTAAGAGATGTTTGCTAAACCTCTTCTTAGAACTTCTATAATGGAAAGTTAACAACTCCCATGGGAAGTATATTTCAGTATTTTACTACCCTTACAGTTGAGAAGTTTATCTTACATAATTTTTGCTATAAATATAAGCTAGTTGTAAGGATATTAAGAGAAACTTCCCAATTATAATGATCTTGAAATATCCCCAACACTACCAAGATTATCTAGAGAGGCCACTATAATTTCCAAAGACATTTTAGTGCACAATACATACAGCTATGTATTATTTTGTCCCCTTATTTTTTTCCTTGCTCAATTATAAAAATGTAGTCAGAACTTCTTTATTTGGATTCAGTATAACTTTAAACATCTAGCAGGATCTATATGCAAAGCTGATGACAACTGACCATCCTAGATTACACATTATACCTACATAATAAAAGCTGAAAGCCTAACACACACAAAAATACCAATTTATATGAAAGATAATCTTGCATTTTAAACATAAGGATGGAGTTCTATATTCTACTTGAGTAGGAAGTCCTGACTCTGAACAAATCACAATTTTCTCCATCTCTAATTCTTCATGTTTAAAAGGTCAATAGCATTCATTAAAGTTTCTGTGATGACTAATATATGCAAATACATTAAAAGAGGAATGCTGCTCGCTAACAGATTCACTAGATGATAAAAACTATTGCATGTCCATAAGCAAATTTGATGGGAGATAAAGTATAAATGAGGAAATAAGATACTATTTATTCCAAAATGATATTTGGTGTTGTCTTTTAGATTAATCTTAGTTGACTTTTGTTGATAGTATCTCATTTCATATGCAGAATTTAAGGTAAAAATAGATTAATTCCAATGTCAAATGAAGTACAGTAGCCACAGATGTGGTACACTCTAACTGCATTAATGCTACCATAAAATTAAACTGCTCTATTTCAGGGAATCCTGAAATCAGGGCATTTTGAATCCTAAATACCAGTTATTTAGAATGCTAACTTCATAATAGTCGAGATAAATAACAAACTGAAATGCTATATCGTGGTTTGTTCAATCATACACACAAGGGTTACTATATTCTTTTATAAGTGTTTCTAGTTTAAAACAAACCTCATCTAAATTCAGACCACATACATATATTTTAAGCACAGACTCCTCTTTTAAGCACAAACCACATTCACATCAAAAAGGCTCGAGGCAGCAAATGTCCTGGTTTGTGTATAGAATTGTTCTACTATAGTAACAGATTTTTTATCATGGGTTTTTTGCCATATTTTTAACTCAACTATTTTTAAAAAATAAATTAAAAAACGGATGAAGATTTCAAATAGAATTAAAATTTCATCTTATAGTCACTATTTCACATTCTACATTATTTCTCCCAATTCTAAAAAATCTTGTTTTATAAATATTACTTTTGTACATACAATATTGTTTCAGACTTGCAGTCATGAAAACCATTATACTGCTTGACCTCTGGAAATACCCTGCCTTTAGCCTTGTTATGCACCTGAGATGTGTGAAACCGTCTCAATTACAAATACAGTACAGAAGACCTACGGCCTGATCCTGCAACTGTTACCAGCATCCTACAACAGCCAATGTCAGTGATAAAGAAGGGTGAATCGTAGAGGTGCAAGATTCTGCTGGACCAGGCCTTAAGTGTAAGTGCCTATTACTACACATTGTAAGGTGACATCTCAAAATAAAATAGCATCTCTTTATGTAATGCAGAAGTAACACACACGATTTACATATAGTAATAATTTATTCTGAAATGTTCATTTTAGTCTCTGTTGAGACATCACTCATGTCTCGTTAATAAAAGAGCAGCCATCTCACCTCAAATACCAGAATATACAACAAGTTACAGCATAGCAAAAAAAATTCTACCTACTTTAAGATAAAGTCTAGTTCAGGTAAAATAATTTTGTTCAAGGTTTTACAGTTACACAGTTTTCCTTTTGATGCAGAGCACAAAAAAAGTGTAAATTGTTACACCATAGCTATCTATGCACATTATGTGACCACAGAAATGTTAATCATTACTTCAGAAAATGAACCATCAGTTCCATTCATGCAGAAAAGCAGGCTAGGAAAGCTTGTTCCGCAGAAACCATATCACTGTGAATTTCACAGCCACATGATTAATTATTGGGTTAGATGGACTCACAAATACTAAAACTAGAGGTTTTTTATTTTTTTGCATAAATAATACCAATTCTTCCCTGATGTAGTTTAGTCAGTCTGTAATCTAGAAATGATTGATAAGCAATATGACTAGATGATCTTTAGCTGTAATGTTCATGATTTCAACACAAGCAATATTTAAAGAATTACGAGATGGGATGCTAATTAAATACATGTTAAACATACTGTACAAATACAATTGCATTAGCAATTTTACTCCAAGCTGTCAATCAAGTATCCCTCCAAAATATTACCAGTGAAGACAAAGTATACTATCAAATATGGCTTCCAGAACAAGGACCCTCTAACAAGAATCAAACCTATTTACAAAAAATAAAAACAACAGACAAAACCAATCCCCAGACTTAAAGTTTCATGTGAAACTTTTTTTTTCTCAATAGCTGCTGTAAATAATACATCAGTTTTACTTTTTTTTTTTTTAATATATATATATTTAAACAGAAGTCACCAGGTAAGAGCCTGAGTGGCGCTTGGGGCTCTGGGTTCCGCTGGAGTCTGTGTTTTCCGTCTTCGAGTCGCGCTTCTTGGTGCTGTTACTTACTGGTGTGGGTATTTGTGATGGCCGGGTAGAACTGTTGTCCGCGCTGCTTTTCCTGGGGCTTGGATTGTAGTTGAAGGGAGTCACCCTTGCTGCAACGGCGCCACTGGGGGAGCTGTGTTTGCTGGAGCTGCTGGAGCTGAACGGCGTACGCTCACTAACGGTACTCTCATTATTTTCTGGTGCAGGTACAGCATTATTCTGCACAGGTTTTGCTTCAGTTCCTTTCTTGTCTGGACTGTCTATTTGAATAAATGAGTTCAGACGACTTTCTAAACCAGTGGTACGAGCAGGAACATTTCCATTCCCTGCATTTTGTTTTTCTTGACTGTCTTTAGAATCTTTACTATTCACACCCCCTTTCTCTGGAACACTGTCAATAACAGGGGGAGTATTTCCAGTTGGAGACCTTCCAGATCGAGGATTATTAATTGGGCAGTCTTCTATCCTCACCCACACATCCTCTGTCTTAGAGACAGCTGGTGCCATCTGATAAATTAGAGTTTTGGAATCAGAGCCGTTTGTTGCATCTGAGGAAGAATTCTGAGGATCATTCATTATTTGAGTAATTTCGTTTTCTTTTATTTTTCTCCAAGTACCTTTTGTTGGTGCTTGACTTTCTTTACTTTGCTTAGGTCCAGACACAGAACTTCCATGTTGCTTTTCATCTTCACTTTTTGCCTTTTCACTGGATTCAGAAGAAGCTGACAGAATTGAGGAAGAGCTCCCAGTTCTTCGCCAAGTGCTGACACGAGGAAGCGATGAGGAATGCTTACTATGCTCACGTTTCCACGTTCCTGACCTATTGATGGGCAATCTAGATGGACTCTCGGAATGAGAACGAGCTATATCATGACGTTTCAGGGGTCTCCCATCATATTCTGCTGAAGGGCTCAGATTAGGGGGTAATTTTCGCCAACCACTAGTCTGTGCAGTTGAATGAGTGGATAAAGACATATCAGGAAGAGATGGACTTAAAACTGGTGTCTGTATCTGGGATCTAGTGGGAGAATCTGGCCTGGAAGGGGAAAGAGATTCAAATGAAGCCGACTCTTCTAATTTCCGTCTTAGAGTTGGACTCGGAGCTTCTTTAATAAAAGTTGACTGACGAACCAGAACAGGTCTCTCAGATCTGTCAGATTCGCTTCCGCTAGATTTTGTGGATGACATTCTGGACAGGTCAGTCTTTTTGTTGGATCCCCCACTACTGAGAATCTGGTTTAATCCTTTTGAGGCAGACTCACTTCTAGGAATGCCACTGTTACTCTTAGGTAAGGCAGTTTGCTTTGTAAGGTTTTGCTGGCTCATCTGCCTGCCCGGCGAGGTGTAAGACACCCTTCCTGAACTTGAAGATTTAGTTGAAGCTGTACTGGGAGATGATGTCCTGGGCAACTGAGACAGTTTGTTGGGAGGGCTTATACCGTTTCTTCCTGGGGAAATTGAGTTTCGACCTGGAGACTGCAGAGGTCTGCTTAATGGCTGCTGTTGAGGCCTGGAAGGAGTGGAGTCTCTAGACCCTGATCGAGAAGGTCCTTTACTCGATCCACCCTGTTGGGAGGGTTGCCTTGTTACAGAAGCTGGCTCAGATTTCACTGATGACTTGATTCCTCTTGGAGAACTGGTGCAACTTTGGCCTTCACTTGGACTCTTGGAGCTTGTGTTTTTCACTGGAGGACCTTTCTTGGAAACAGGACTAGTACTTGAGGAACTATTTCGAACTCCTGGAATATGAATCATTGTCCTACCACGTGAAATTGAAGGCATAGTTGTTTGTTGTAGTTGCTTCAGCTGGCCCGAAACTTCTGAATTGGAGCGAGCTTTTCCTGTAATTATACTTTTATATACTTTTTTCCCTCCTTTAATCCCCTTATTTTCAGATTCTACTTTTTTAGATTCCAATGTGCTCTTCTCCCCAGGCTTAAGAATTCTTGGACCTTTATTATTAGTAAAAGGCTTTTCTTCTTGGTCTGGGGTAAGATGAAATGGTGACCCTAGAGAAATACCAGATTTTAATGAAAGGATAGAATCAGAGTCTGATGAAGCTTGTCTAGACAGTGATGCAGCTGCTGCAGCTTGATGCAAGCTACTAACTATAGAATTTGCACCTTCTTGGATAGCTTTCCAATCAAAATTCTCAGAATCAGGTGAGAAACCATGTTCCGACTCTGGCCTCTGGATATCTCTCAAATCTAGTGTTAAATCTTCTGCCAGTATACCACCCATATTTCTGGAATTATGTTTTTCACCTTCACTCTTTACTCTTGAAGGCTTTTTCTTTTTAGGCATAGCAGAACTAATGCATTCTTGCAAAAGACATTCCTGCAAAAGATCATCTTCTGAGTCAATACTAAGAGAACTCAGGGAGCTGTTTCTAGAGAAACACACGGGTGTATCTTCAACGTGAAACGACTTTGGTGCATAACCAGAAGTCTGAGGTCTACTTGATTCTACCTGGGAATCAGGACCCTCATTTCGTTTTGCAGGCTCGCTTTCTTTGTTGTTGTTTTCCTGATCAATGTCACTGAGGGAACTAAGAGATGAATTGCGAGAAAAACAAACAGGTGTGTTTTCGATGGCAAAATTCTGCATTTTCTCATCTGTAGCTGCTCCTCTGTCTGGAATATCTTTAGCTGACTGAGAGAAAGTTTTAGGCTGGCTTCTGCCTGCTGGGTGTTTTTGACAGACTTGTGGCCTATTACTGGGTTGCTGATTTGAAGACTGCTCAGGATTCGTACAGTCTTTGGTTTCCATTTCCTTTGCTTCTTTTCCTTTTCTTAATTCTGCTTTTTCCCTTGAAAGGTCAACATCATCATCATCAAAATCTAAAGAACTGAGGGAATCATTCCGTGAAAAACAGTATGGAGTTCCCTCAATAGGTGTGTAATGATGAGGGGAATCAAATGCAAAGCTTCCTCTTACTCGCTCTTCGTTATTTGGAAGTTTGTCATTAAAATCTCTTGAATTATTTTTAAGATGTTTCTTTGTGTCTCTGTTTTCTGAATAGCTCCTTTCATTATTAATGTTGCTTTTAGGCTCTGTGTTTTTTCTTATTCGTGCTCTGTACTCATTGTTTTGGGGAGCAGGCTTTACGGGTGATGTTGGCTTCTTTTTCTCTCCTCCCGATTGATTTTTGTTACTTAGAACTGAAGATGCTTGCTGAATTTGATCCATTATCTTCTTCACTCTGAAAGGCTTGTGACTTTTTCCTTTTGGCATAGCTGAGTTAATACACTCAGCTAGAATATCACCCTCTTCTGTTTTTTCATCTTCCAGTCCTGCAGCAGTAACAGTCAAGCTTTTTGCTCTCTGAGACTCATCTGTGCTTCGGCCTTCTGTGGGAATGGTATCTCTCTTTTCAAATTCCACTGAGTCTACCCCAGAACCCACATTCTCTACATTGGCCAACTCATTCGGTGGTGATTCTATTGTGAGATCACTCAGAGATGTAGCCGTTGAAAAATTTATTGGTGTGCCCTCAACACAATATACCCGCGGCATATCATCTCCAGGGGTAAAACTCACGTGCTTCTGGGACTGTAGTCTGCTCTGTGAAGGCAAAAGTTTGTAAACTGGCAGCTGGCTTGGCTTCCTGGCTACAGGAGGAGGTATTTTTGAAGCAGGTGCTTGAGAAAGCTTTTTGGCTTTGCGTGAAGATTTTGTTGGCATTGCAGAAATAATACATTCTTCCAGTATTTCAATATCATCATCGTCAGAATCATCCAATATGTCTTTTTCTGCATCAGTAGACTTCTCTGCTTTCTTCTCTTCGTTATCCTTTGTGTCATCTGACTGCTCAGGTTCTGTTTCATTTCCATGGTCGTTTTCATGCACAGGAGGCATTATTCTTAACTCTATGTCCTTCTGTATAAACGGTTCATCAAGACTCAGGGCACTTAGGCTAGAAGAGCAAGAAAATCCATCTGGTGTACTTTCTGTGGCAAAATGTAATAATGTGTCAGCATCTGGCAACACCTGCACTCTCTGAACGGCTGCATTCACAGCTGCCTGTCTAGGACCAGGTTCTCTCTTTTCTGCCGTACGAGA